TTTGTGACTGAATCTCTTGGGTTTTCTAGGTATAGGATCATATCATCAGCAAATAGGAATAGTTTGACTTCTTCCTTACCAATGTGGATGCCTTTGATTTCCCTTTCTTGCTTTATTGCCCTGGCTAGGACTTCCAGTACAATTTGAATAGAAGTGGTGATAGAGGGCATCCTTGTCTGGTTCTTGTTCACAAGAGGAATGGTTTCAGTCTCTCTCCATTGAGTATAATGTTGGTTGTTGGTTTTGCATAAATGCCCTTTATTATGTTGATGAATGTCCTTTCTATTCCTATTTTGCTGAGAGTTTTGATCAAGAATGGGTGTTATATTTTATCAGATGCCTTTTCTGCATCAACTGATATGATTATATGGTTCTTCTTTGTTTTATTTATGTGGTGGAGGACGTTGATTGTTTTTCTAATATTGAACCATCTACCAGAGCAATCCTCCGTGCAGTCCCTGGCTAGGAAGGCCAATTTTTAGGTTAATTCTTAGGTCCACCACTCGGCAATATGCAAGCTATCTTTGCCATGAGGATCACTGCCAGACCGCAGCTCCGTATGCCTTCTTTTTTGGTGCTTTCATGGAAATTCTTCTGCTAGTTGGAGTTTAGTCCACTTCTATATCCTTCCCTTCAAGGCTCAAGGGTCCAGGATTATCTTCTGTATCTGTGTTAATTGGTTCCCCTTTTCTTTGTTGAAGAGGGTCTGTGCAGTCTTTCTGTCTATTCCACCATCTTACCAGAACTGGTAAATGGTATCATATTAAAAGAAGAAATAATAACTGTTCTTGACAAACTCAGAAAGTAGGAGGGAACACTTCCCAGCATAGCATATAAAGTATTATTACCTGATAGCAAATCTAGATGAAGCCATTATAAGAAAAGAAAACTACCTGACATCTCTAATGAAAATAGATGAAAACATTAACAAACTAAATCCAGCAACAGAACAGGATTATAAACCCTGATCCCATGTGTGTCAGAGGAGAACTGTGTAACAATTTTCTGTGGCAGATTTTTCAGAAGTAGGTTGCTAGGCCTTTGTCCTGAGGTGCCTCTGAGTGGACTGGAACCTCCAGTCTTTCCATTAGCAGCTGAGTGCATTAACCGTGTATGACACCATGCAGTGTGGGAAATGTACTCCTTAAAACCTAGCTAAGAGAAATGAAAATATGTCCAAAGAGCTATGCTAATGTATTCTTGGCAAAAGGATTCATCTTAGCCTTTTAGGCATTTTAATCTCAGCCATTGAGAGATGTCAGAAGAGGAATCACTGCTTTTCACAAGCAAATTGGCTCCTTAATGTCTTGACCTCACTTCTACCAGCCATCCCTGTTCCTGTTTCTTTGACCCCTTTTATGAATCAAAAAACTCTAGAGTTAATGGTCTTGACTGGTGAATGAGGGTAGATACAGACAGTTAAATTGGGAGTCTGTCTTAACCTTGATGATTTAAAAAAAAAAAAAATTTCTTTCTCTCCAGGGATAATCCCACATCAGTGTTTTGGTTTCTAGTGTGGCCTAGAACCTGTGTGTGTATGACGGTTGTTTTTTTTTTTTTTTAAGTCCTTTGTGTAAGTCCCTTGAGAGAATATATTAGGATGGAGAGAACTATTTAACAGAGTTCTAGTTTCTCTTGCAGCACAATAGCTTACTTGCCCCTGTGTGCACCTTTGTACTGGTCAGATTGGTAGGTGGCAATCTTCCTCTGTCCCTGCAGAGAAATGACACCTTGGTCTCTTTTGCAAGCCCTTTTCCCATCAGTCCCTAGGTTAGGCCCTGTTTGGCCATGCAGGGCTGTTAGTTTGTTTACTGCTGCAGCGAGTGTGATGAATCATTTACGCAGTGGACATACAAGCTCTACTGACTGAATTAATTTTAAGTAACTGGCATAGGCTAGTGACTAGGAAGTGGGCTTTTAGAGAGAGATACCCAAGGTTGAAAGTTTGTCTTTTTTTAAAAAAAAAAAAAAATTGCTGTAGATAATGCAGCGATAAGGGTTCTTCTCCCTCTTCATGTCTACTCTTCTTCCAAATAATTGTATCCAAAAGAGCTGTTCTTTCCTATTTCCCTACTCTGCCTTCTTGTTAAAGCAGAAGCAAGGGCTGATTTATGTCCAGCTCCTGAACACATTTTTGTAAAATCTGTACAAAAATATCTTCTATGAAAATGATTTGTAATCTGTAAACTTAATACCTGGTGGGAGACATCTTGAGATGTAAAATCCCCATCCTTTAGGTTGTGGGTTTTTGTTTTCTCCAAATAAATCTGATCCTTAAAGTTCCAAAAAAAAATTCTTCATAGCCAAAATTGGAAACAGTACGATTGTCTATCAGCTTGGTGAATGAATAAACAAAATGTGGTACATACACAAAATAGAATAATATTCAATAAAACGTAGGGCAAATCTGCAAAAGACCTCTATAAAGTGTTAAAAAAAACAAAGGTCTCACTTTGAGGACTGATTTGAGCCTGACCCAAGCCATGGTATTTTTAATCACCTCATATGCACGTGAAAGCTGGACAATGAATAAGGAAGATGGAAGAATTGATGCATTTGAATTATCCTGTTGATGAAGAATATTGACTATACTGTGGATTGTCAAAAGAATGAACAAATCAGTCTTGGAAGAAGTACAGCCAGAATGCTCCTTAGAAGTGAGGATGGTGAGACTTTGTCTCTTATACTTTGGACATGTTATCAGGAAGGACTAGTACCTGGAGAAGGACAATATGCTTGGTAAAGTGGGGGTCAGTGAAAAAGAGGAAGACTCACAAGGAGAAGGATTGACACAGATAGTGGCTGCCACAGTGGGCTCAAACATAACAATGATTGTGAAGATGGCACAGGACTGGGGGCGATGTTGCATTCTGTTGTGCTTAAGGTCATTATGAGCCTGAACTGACTCAACAGCACCTAACAACAACAACATTCAATAAAAAAGTATGAACTCCTGATACATGATATAACATGTATGAACCTAAAAACGTTGCAAATGAAACCAAATGGGAAAAAGTACATATTATATGATTCCATTTATATTAAATATCTAAAAAGCAAATTTAAAGTGACAGAAAGCAGATCAGTGGTTGCTTAGGGTTTGGTGTTAACTCATTGGTCATGTGGAAACTCTCTGGGGAAAGGTTCTAAAACTGGATTGTGGTGGTGGTGTATAATTCTGTAATTTTCTGAAATTGACCCATATAATGGATGAAAGTTATGACTTATACTGTTTCTTCAATAAAGCTGCTAGGTGTTTATCCAAGAGAAATTAAAGCATATCTCCATACAAAGACTTGTACTTGGACATTGATGGCAACTTACTTTGATAGCCAAAAACTGGAAACACCCGTATCTTGATCAGTAGGTTAATGGATAAACAAATTATGGTATATCTATACCAGTACTAGCTACACAATTTGTTAGGCTGAGTGCAACGTGAAAATGCTAGCCCTCTGTTCAAAATTTATTAAGAATTTAAAAATGGCAACAGCAGAACATTAAAACAAGGTTGAAGTCCTTCTGAGCACCAAGCCTCAGGTATCTGTGCAAGCTGCAGAGACCTGATCCCTACAATGAAATACCATTTAGCAATAAAAAAGGAATGAACTTCTGATACAACAACATGGATGAGTTACTGAAAATGAGGTTGAGTGAAAGAAGCCAGATCAAAACAGAATATATGTATGATTCCAGTGATAAAAACTCTAGAAAATGTAAATTAATCTGTGGTGACAGAAAATAGGTCAGGAGTTGTCTGGAGAGGTCCATTTGAAGGAAGAATTACAGAAGGACATGAAAGACCATTTTAGGGAGTGAAGAATATGTTCATTATTTTGATTGTGGTGATGGTACACACACATATAAAAACTTGCCAAATTGGACAGTTTAAATATGTGCAATTTATTGCATGTCTGTTTTCCTCAGTAAAGCTGTTTTTTAGAAATCTTTATTTATGTTTTTACTCCTCGGCTCATTTTTTAACTCTTCTATATACTTTTTCTATTTAGGGGTAATGGAAAAGAAATATGAATTGATTTTACAGATTCTGTATTTTTTATCTTTAAACTCTTATTTAAACTACTGAACAAGCGTAACTAATATTTTTGCTAAAGTTTCTTACTAAAGTAGAATCAGTATCCTCATTAAAAAGATAATGTTGCTTACTGCCTGATAGTTTGCCTAGTGTAATTTGCTATTTTATACATACACCCTTACTTTCCATGTTGGCTCCAGATGCTAAGCTCTGAAATAATAATTACAGTGTTTGCCTTTTTGAAGAAGTGAAGGGAAAGAAATTATTTTTAATGTTTCTATAGGCAACACCCACATTGCTTAGAAGATTTGGATCTCAGCTCATCAAGTCAACTGTTTTGTCAGCTAGTACTTCTCTTCGCGTGTTAGCCCTCGGTGGTGAAGCATTTCCATCATTGACTGTTCTCAAAAACTGGAGAGGAGAAGGCAATAAGACACAAATATTTAATGTCTATGGTATCACAGAGGTATCAAGTTGGGCAACCTTTTACAGGATTCCAGAGAAGATTCTTACCTCTACTTTGCAGTAAGAATTTTAATTATACTAAATAGAGTTGAAAGAAAGTATGTCTTTCTAGGACCTTAAAACAAATTAAGTTTTGATAAGGTAATGATTTTAGAAACACTATTTTACCTAGTATTTTAAGCTGGAAATTCAGGATCTTTTTACTTTAACTGGTGGCTAGCCTGCTAGAACTTCTTGTGGTTAAACAGCCATGAATAAATAGCATACTTGATGGCCTTTCCGTCTGAGCTTTCCTCTTGGCGGTCTTTGAATTGTAGTATAACAAAAAATTTTTTTCATTGTTATTTGGTACAATGTAATTTAAATATGTTGAAAAATATTCTGTTCAAATGAAAAATTTTAAATCTAGTTTGGGTTGTGTTTTTCTTAGATGTGAATTGCCTGTACCGTTGGGATTTCCACTGCTTGGAACAGTAATTGAAGTCAGAGACACTAATGGTTTCACAATTCAAGAAGGCGATGGACAAGTATTTTTAGGTTGTTCTACATTTGTTGAATGGGTATTTTTTTTCCCCAAAAAAAAAAACTTATGTGTTAATTTTACTCTTTTCCTGATTCTGCTTATGTCCACTATTCTCTTCAGTGATAATAATTTTTAACCTCATCCTTATAGTCATGAAACTTAATAAATTATTATTATTTTAATAATTTATTATAATTATTTCAGATAACAGTGTGTAATACTCAAAGAGAAGGTATCAAAGTAATTTAGAAATTCTACAAGTGTATTTGGGAGCTCTGGTGGCATAGTGCACTGCTAACCAGAAAGCTGATGGTTCAAACCCACCAGCTACTCCTGGGAAGGAAGATTGGGCAATCTACTTCCGTAGTGATACCGCCTCGGAAACCCAAGGAGAGATCACTGTGAGTCAGCTCTGACTCGATGGCAGTGAGTTTGTTTGTTTGTTTGTTTTTGGTGTACGTGTATTTGTATGTTTTGTAAGGATTTCTAGGTATATAGTAGAGCTGACAAGGGACAAGGCTTTAGTCACTTCTTGGCCACAGCCAGCTACCCAGAAGAAGTGAGTAGTTGGACCTATGGGCTCGGGACCATGGTCATAGAGAACATCAGGTGCAATTGGCATAAATACTACACAAAACATTGTTCCACATCCTACTTTGATGAGTATAATGATTGGCATCTTAAAAGCTTGCAAGCGGCCATCTAGATGTGATGATGGGTCTCTCCTCATCCAGAGCAAAGAAGAATGAAAAAAAACAAAGACACATGGAAACAGTCAGGGGACTAGTAGACCATGCAGTTTTTGGCCTATATGACTGTGAGACCAGAAGAATTGGATGGTTCCTGGATACCCCTGTCAACCACTTGGAGGGGGATCTGTGTAGGAGATCCTGGATGGAGTGGGAGAACAATGTGGAACAAAACTCAAAATCATATGAGGGTTAAAAAAAAAAAAAGACCAAATTTTCTGGTCTGATAGAGCCTAGGGGAACCCTTGAGACTGTGGTCCCTAGCTGCCCTTTAGGTCTGGAATTGAACCCACTCCTGTGGCTTCTAGCTAAGCAAAAGACAGGCATATAAGCTCAATATTTACATTAGGTAGATGCATTCCTTGGAGAGACCAATCATGAGAGAATAGAAGGGCTATATATGCACAGGGAGACAGCTTGGGCAGGAGTACATGGGAGGAAAAGACACAGAGAAGAGGTAGCTATGGGGAGGAAGTGGTAGGACAGGTGTTGCATTGTGGTAGATTGTAGTCAAAGTCATGAGACAAAATGTATGTGAACTGCTGTATGAAAAATGAATTTTCTCTGTAGACTTTTACCCAAATCAAAATAAATTTTTTTTAAAAAAAAGTAATTTAGAAATTGTATCTCGGACCTTTATACTTACAGCCAAATTTCTATTTAAGAATTTTTTAAAAGGTATATATATGTTTCTAAAAATAAGTTTTGTTTTTTATCCATTTACTTATTTTCTGTGGTGGTTGTACCAGATTTTATCAGATAACATTTAAAAATGGCTCCTTTTAATATAAATATTCATACTTTAAAACTTACTTTTAATATCTCTTGTCATAGATCTGAATTTTTGAAGGTGCTCTTGATTTGATGGTTTTTCATGTATTTTCCATGTATTATTATTATTATTATTACATTGGTGTTTTTATGTTGCAAAGGTGGTAGAAACCGAGTGTGTTTTCTTGATGATGAAATGACAGTACCCCTTGGCACAATGCGGGCCACGGGAGACTTTGTGACTGTGAAAGATGGAGAGATGTTTTTCTTGGGCCGAAAGGACAGTCAAATCAAACGTCATGGCAAACGTCTTAACATTGAGGTTGTGCAACAGGTAAAACTATTCACATATTAAATATCCACTAAAATATAGGCAGGTATTAGAGGCAGCCACCACCAATTGTCTGTGCTAAGGTTCTGTATCACTATTACTGAAACGTAAGATTTGTGTGTTAGTAATAGGTGTGGATAATGTAGTATGCCCTTTATTCCCAGCATGAAGAGATGGCTGTGTTGTAAATCAGCGACAAAGTAGACTTTCATAATGTGAACATAAATTGGTTTATTTTGCTTTAGAAGCTGTTGTTTTTGAAAAATATTAAGAATTGTGTGCTAGTAACTGTTGTGTTGTTGTTATGTGCCATCAAGTCAGACCCGACTCATAAGGACCCATCCTTGGGTTTTTGAGGTGGTATCACTACAGAAGTAGATTGCCCAACCTTCCTTCCAAGGAGTAGCTGGGCTAGTAACTATAGCAAACTTTTTTCTTAAACGTTTACTGTACTGGAAAATTTAATTTGACTATTGATTTCACACATGATAAGATTGAGCATTTAAGAAGTTTATTTTCAAATGTCCTCATTTAATTAAGACAATCTCTCTCATAGGTTGCTGAAGAACTTCACCTAGTGGAGTCTTGTGCAGTTACATGGTTTAAGCAGGAAAAATTAATTCTATTCATGGTGTCCAGAGAAGATTTAGTAGAAGATTACATCTTTAAAGAACTTCAGAAGCACCTTCCAAGTCATGCAATTCCAGATGAACTTGTACTGATTGATGCACTACCATTTACATCTCATGGTAAAATAATTTAAAGCAGATATATTTCAGTGCCACATAATATTAATTATATTCAGAGAATATAATTTTAATTGCCACTTAAATCCTTATGAGAAATGATACTAATGATGTATTTATTGTAGTAGACCCTCTGTTAAATGCTTTTTATGATTAACTCATTTTACCTTCAGAAAGTCGTATGAGTAGGTTATATTATTTCTGTTTACAAATGAGGAAAATAAGGCTTAATGAGGTTAAGTAACTTCCCCCAAATCACATTGCTGGGTAGTAATAGAGTTGATATTCTGTCTGGAGGAACTGTTTGACTTCAAAATTTATGCTCCTGATTACCATATTACATTGGCTTCCTGTTTTCATCTTTATTTTGTATTTACTTCAAAATGCAGTAATTGCTCAGTTAACCATTTAAATGAAATAACATCAGGTCCTTCCTTCCTGTTTGCTTATTAATTATTCCCTACATTCTTGGTAGCATGGGACTACTTTTAGAATTATTTATGACAAACTGTAGTAAATTTAAGGTTAAAATGAAAAATACATGTATTCTTTTGATTAGTGAAGATACAAAGACTTTGAGGTGAAATTGGAAAGTCATTTTTCTTTTACATTAAGGCAAAATTGATGTTTCGGAGTTAAACAAGATTTATTTAAACTACATGAACTTGAAGTCTGATTGTAAGCTCACTGGAAAAGAGGATCTTTGGGAAAAATTACAGCATTTGTGGAAGGTACAGTTACAGATTTGTTATTATAAAGAGGTCATTTGATATCTTTAGGCATCCCATATGAGTTTGATATATTTTTCTAAGAATTTTATTATGCCCAAATTGCACATGGTGCAGCATCATTTATGCAATTTGTATTAAAATAAGTATTAGGTTCTCTATGGTAAGATTAGGAGCTCTGGTAGCATAGTGCCTAAGGCACTTGACTGCTAACCAGAAGGCTGACAGTTCAAATCCACCAGCCACTCCTTGGAAGGAAGGTTGGACAGTCTACTTTGTAGTGATACTGCCTTGGAAACCCAGGGAGGAGTCGCTATGAGTCAGGTCTGACTCGATGGCACATAACAGCAACAACAAAAGACATTTATTGAAAGTGAGCTAGTCATAAAAGGTATGAGCAGAAAAGCCTATATTGGCATAGGTTTTCCCTAAGAGGGATAGTGAAGTTCAGTGACACTTTTGTCAGAACTGAGAAAACAGCCAAATCTTTTTATGCCACAGTCTGTTATACATGCAGTCCTCCAGTATGACTTACAGGTAACACCTACTTGCCCTTTAATGTTATTATGTCAGTTTGCCCTCTCTTTGAAACTATTAAGCCAACCCTTACAAATTTTTCATCACAGTCACCATCACTTGCTTCTCATGCAGCTTTTAAATAGTTGAAATGCTGAACTTTTTGCACTAAATAAGAACCCAGTGTACCTGTTCTGACTTACTTGCCAATTGTTAAAGAGACAGTTAGGAACAGATCTCGTTTATAACCTGGGGACTGCCTATGCTTAGGGCTTATATCACTATTCTACAAGAACTTTGAGTAATAACATGCATGCTTCTGCTTAAAGGAATTTTTGCAACCACTGGGCTTTCCTCTTCTTGCATTGGACTTCATTGGCAAGCCCACGTTCCTCATTTGGATGGGAGAAAGCAGAGTAGTACTCAAGTATCCATGAATGGTATCTCTGCCTTCAGTTTCTAACATTCTAGAAATCTGTTTTCCCACCATTGTCAAAAAGAAAGCCTAGTAATTTTCATAAACTGACTAGACTAATTCTTGTGATAGTCATAACTTGCACAGGCAGAGAAATAAATTGAACTTAATTTTTTAGTTATTTAAATAATATATCCCAAAAAAAGGCTTATTCCAACAAATAGATACACTCAATTATTATAATTTCAAAGATAATCTGTAACTAATACATCTATACATATTATTACTATCATACACCATTTTGTTTTAAATGTGGATTTTTCTTTTCTAAAGAGTTCTGAAAGGGGGATGTAATTGTATTGTCTTGTCAGAAAATGGTGGATATCTAGATAAAATATTAGCCACTTCCTTTCTATATTCATTGGAAGTAATTTTGACTTATGTGAAGCAGATGAAGATTATATTATTCCCATATTACAGAAATACTGGATATTGGTATCATGTGGGCTGTATAATTAGTAAATCTGATTTTTTATAATTCCATTTTTTATTTTATGGGTAGGAAAATCCTTTGAAGGGAGGTACATTTTGCAATTATAGAGTAAGTTTGTGGCAAAATTTGTAGCGCTGTGATAGTCTTCTTTGGTATCAAAGACCAGTAATACTTTTAAATTTAATTTAATTAAAAATACTTATTTTGTATGTCTTATGTTCATATAAGGAGCTCTGCTGTCTCAGTGGTCAAACCCACTAGCCACTCCATAGGAGAAAGATGAGGCAGTCTGCTTCTGTAAAGATTCTGAAGTGGTATCACTACAGAAGTAGATTGCCCAACATTCCTTCCAAGGAGAGGCTGGTGGATTTGAACCACCAGCCTTCTGATTAGCAATCAAATGCCTTAGGCACTATGCCACCAGAGCTCCCTGTAAAGATTTACAGCCTTGGAAACACTATTTGGCCTTTCTACTCTGTCCTGTAGGGTCGCTATGAGTCAGAAATCAACTTGATGGCAGTGGGTTTGGTTTTGTTTTGGTATGTTTATATACTTGATTTAGGCCATATCATCTCTATATGTTACTTGTACCTGTTTAAGTCTTTAGACCTCTACTTCACCGTATTTCTCTGTTTTCTCATCTGTAGTCTATTCTGAGCCTTTCAGAAGATTCTTTGATGGTTCCTAAAGAGTCATTGTTCTTACATAGTGGTGGAGATTCCTTAAAGTCCATACGGCTTCTCAATGAGATTGAAAATCTGGTTGGCACATCAGTGCCTGGGCTTCTGGAAATTATTCTCAGCAGTTCTGTTTTAGACATTTACAATCATATCCTTCAAACAGTGTTTCCAGATGAAGACCTACCACTCAGCAAGAGTTATGCCATAAAAAGAAAGTTCAGTGACATTAATCAAGAGGAAACCAGTGGAAAATCTTTACAACAGAAATCTGGCATGCCTTTAACTTGTGACAACGAGATCAGTGCTTTTATTGCACTGAGCAGAGGAAGTCAGGTTTTGTCTCTCAATTCTACGAAATATTTAACTAACTTGGGACATTGTCCTTCACCCAGTTCTTCTGATTTAATTTCACAGCTTACTAGTCAAAATATGAAAAGCACAAAGCCTCCACCTATTATTGAGAAGTCAGAGAAGGTATCCTGTATTGCAGAAGTTTCTAAAGAGGAGAAACCTGTAATAGAGACTGAAAAACTGGAGTTACGTGTGAGGTGGAGGTCAGATACAGGCAAATGTGTGGATGCTTCACCTCTGGTTATAATACCAGCTGTTGATAAGTCATCTGCAACTGTGTACATTGGCTCCCATTCTCATAGAATGAAGGCAGTTGAACTTTATTCTGGGAAGGTGAAATGGGAACAGATTTTGGGAGATCGAATTGAATCCTCAGCATGTGTATCTAATTGTGGAAACTTTATTGTAGTTGGTAAGTATCTGAATTTTTTTGGTTTGTAGAATTAAACTGAATTACCATATAATAATGATGCAAAGACCAAATTAAATAAATATACCAATGTATGATTTTGGCTGCTGTCATGGAATACTGGTTAACTGCATAGTCAGTATAGTATGGTGATTAATAGTGTGGGCGTTGGGGTCATTGGATCTGAACCTAGCTGACTGGTACCAGCTCTGTGATCTTTGGCAAGTTGAACTTCTTAGAACTTGATTCACTTTCCTTGTTGGTAAATTGAGAGTAATAATAGGATCTTATTGCTGCATAAAAAACTAATCCAAAACTAAACAGAGCAAGATAATAAACATTTCACAGTTTCTCTGGGTCAGGAATTTTAGAGCCACTTAGCTGGTCATTCAGGCTCATGGTCTCTCAAGTGGGCGTAATCATCTGAAGGATTCACTTTGGTTTGGTGAATCTGCTTGCAGGGCTTTTAGCAGGAGGCTTCAGTTCTTTGCTGGTTCTTGGCAGGCAGCGTTAGTTTCTTGCTTTGTGGGCCCCTTAAGCTGCTTGAATCTCCCCACAACATGGCAGCTAACTTCCCTCAGATTGACTCAAGAGAGAGTGAGGGAGGAAGAAGCTGCAGTGCCTTTTATGACCTCATCACCAAAGTCACGTACTGTTTGTTAAAAGTCGGTCACTAATCCTCTTTCTTGAGAGGTGGGGTATCAAAGTATTGTGGACATATTTTAAAACCATCACCATCATCATAAGGCTTTTGGGAGAAATAGAGATACTAACTTATAAATCTTCTAGCACAGTGCTGACTGAATGCTCAGTAAGTGTTAGCTACTAGCTACTGCTCAGTTTCATTAAAGTATAGGTGGTACTTACTTCACTAGGACTATGAGGGCCCAGGGTGTAATGTCTCTCCCTGACTTCCATTCTTTTTCACTCATACAACTATAATTCCTTCCATCCTCTTTTGATGCTTCCTGCATCATTCAATCGTTTGCCTACAGAATCTTTCAGTATTGCAACTTGAAGCTTAAAATTTTTCTTAGTTCTTCCAGCTTGAGAAATGCCAAGCATGTTTAATGCATAGTATTTCATATGAACATAAAATAACTTATCTCTCTCCTTTGTTAAACACTGTTTGGATTTCATTTAATGGTATTGAAAACAACTTGAAAATAGGTGTCTTGGTTCATTTGTCTACGTTCTATATATACTATCTTTCATTAACTGTTCAGATCTCTTGCCTATTTTTTTTACTGTGTTTTATTGAGTTCTGAGAATTGTATTCTGGATACAAGCTCATTATCAAATCTGTTTTGTGTGTATGTGTTCTCATAACCTGTGACCTATCTTTACATTTTCTTAACATACTATCTTTTTTTTTTTTTTTTAATTGTGATTTGGGTGAAAGTTTACAGAGCAAATTCATTTTCCATACAGCAGTTCACATGTACTTTGTCTCATGACATTGACTACAATTTACCACAATGCAAAAGCTCCCCTCCCACTTCCTCCCGATAGTTACCTCTTCCCTGTGTCCATCCCTCTATGCACTCCTGCTCCCCAAACTGTCTCCCTATGCATAAACAGCCCTTCTTTCTCCCATGATTGTTCTCACCAAGGAGTGTATCTGCCTCAGGTACATGTTCAACTCATATGCCTGTCTTTTGTTTGGTTGGAAGCCACAGGTATGTGTTCAATTCCAGACCTGAAGGGCAGCTAGGGGCCATAGTCTCAGTGGTTCCACCAGGCTCTATCAGAACAGCAAACCTGGTCCCCCCCCCCTTTTTTTTCCCCAAATGTTTTTGAGTTTTTTAACATACTATCTTTTGACTAGTAATTCTTAATTTTGATGAAGTCCAATTTATCATTTTTTTCTTTAATAGATTATACTTTTGGTATTATTAAGAAATCTTTTCATAAGCCAGGATCACAAAGATTTTCTTCTAGCAGTAGAATTTTTTAAATGAAATGAACTGAAGGAAATTTATTACCCACCTGAATCCTGGGATGTTCTGTTATGTAGGACATTTCTCTTTCATCACACAGCATGCTACTAAGTAGTAACCTCCAGAAAATAGCACAGAAAATATCCTGGAAATTGGGCCTAAAATAAGCAGCAGTGGCAGTGATTGCAGGCAGTTACCTAGAGTGTTCACTGCCCTGGTGGCTGTCCCCATGTTCCATTTCCACTGATTTACATGAACTCCAGGGAATATGAGTGATCTCCACTTTGTAGATTTTGACCACTGCTGCTGTTAACTAGGTTATTTGGGCTCCCCCAAGGTCAGGGGCTCCTGTCCTATCGTCTCATCCATAGCATAGATTTGAGAAAGGCAGTTTATGGTAGTTGTCAAGAGCAGTCTTTGAAGCTTGACTTAGAATCAAATCCTGGCTCTGTTACATGTTACTCGTGTAGTTTGCGCTAGTGAGACACTGTCTGATACATTACTGGAAAACTTTATGAATAGCCCTGAAACATTGTCCAGTATAGTGCAGGAAGATGAGCCCATCACATCAGAAGAGACTCAAAATTTGACTGAGGAAGAGCTGACTCCTCAGAGTAGAGATGACCTTAACGATATGGATAAAGCTTTCAGGACCTCCAATGGCTTATGTGGCACGACTAAAAATGAGTAGAAACAGATGCAAACATTCATTAATAATTGGAACATGGAATGTACAAAGCATGAATCTAAGAAAATTGCAAGTTGTCAGAAATTAATGGTATACATATAGATTGATATCCTAGGCATTAGTGTGCTGAAATGGACTGGTTTTGGCCATTTTGAATCAGATAACCATATAATCTGCTATGCCAGAAATGACAAATTTAAGAGGAATGGTGTGGCATTCATCATCAAAAAGTGTTTCAAGATCTGTCCTGAAATACAATGCTGTCAGTGATAGGATAATATCCATACGCCTACGAGGAAGATCAATTAATACTACTATTCAAATTTATGCACCAACCACAAAAGCCAAAGAGGAAATTGAAGCTTTCTACCAACTTCTGCAGTCTAAAATTGACTGAACATGCAATCAAGATGTGTTGATTATCACTGGTGACTGGAATGCAAAAGTTGGAACCAAAGAAGAGTTACTGGCAGTTGGCAAATATGGCCTTGGAGATAGAAATAATGCTGGAGATCACATGATAGAATTTTGCAAGATTTGTTAATTGCAAATACCTTTTTTCAACAACACAAGCAAGGACTATGCATGTGGACCTAACCAGATGGAATACACAGGAATCATATTGACTACATCTGTGACAAAAACTATGTCACTATGGCAGGCTACTGAATAATGATATAGCTACATGCAGTGTTCAAACGTGCCATTAACTAGAGACCGTTCCCAAAGCTGTTTCTTATATACGAAAGCAGACCGCATCCCTAAAGCAGCTACTCGGCTGCTCATGGTAGTTCTGAACATGGAGTTGATTGCCAGTCTTATCGTGGGGAACATTCCATGTTCCAAACCTTGGGACTTTCAATGGACTTAAATTAATGACCTGCCGTGTGGTTTGGTAACTATGGAGAAGTTCAGTATCCTCGGCCAAAACAAGGCAGGAGCTGATTGTGGAACAGACCATGAACTGCTTAGATGGAAGTTCAACTTGAAGTTGAAGACAATTAATACAACTCTACAAGAGCCAAAATATGACCTTGAATGTATTCCTCCTGAATTTAGAGACCATTTAAAGAATAGATTTGATGCATTAAACACCAGTGACCGAAAACCAGAGGAACTGTGGGATGACATCAAGAACATGTATGAAGAAAGCAAAAGGTCATTAAAAAGACAAGAAAGGAAGAAAAGACCAAAATGGATGTCAGAAGAGACTCTGAAACTTGCCCTTGAGTGGAGAGTAGCTAAATGGAAGAAATGAAAAGATAAAAGAGCTGAGCAGAAGATTGCAAAGAGCAGCTCAAGCAGACAGAACCAGTTACTATAATGAAATGTGCAAAGACCTGGAGTTAGAAAACCAAAAAGGAAGAACATGCTTGGCATTTCTCAAGCTGAAAGAACTGAGGAAAAAATTTAAGCCTCGAGTTGCAATATTGAAAGATGCTATGGGCAAAATATTGAATGATGCAGGAAGCATCAAAAAAAGATGGAAAGAATACGTGGAGTCACTGTACCAAAAAGAATTGATAGATGTCCAACTCTTTCAGGAAACAGCATATGATCAAGAACCAATGGTATTGAAGGAAGAAGTCGAAGCTGCACTGAAGGAATTGGTGAACAACAGGGTTCCAGGAATTGATGGAATACCCATTGAGATGTTTCAACAAAAGGATGACCCACTGTAGGCACTCACTTGTTTATGCCAAGAGATTTGGAAGACAGCTACTTGGCCAACTGACTGGAAGAGATCCATATTTATGCCCATTCCAAAGAAAGGTGTGATCCCACAGAATGTGGAAATTATCAAACAATATGATTAATATCATATGCAGGTAAAATTTTACTGAAGATCATTCAAAAACGGTTGCAGCAGTATATTGACAGAGAACTTCCAGAAATGCAAGCTAGATTCAGAAAAGGATGTGGAAGGAAGGTATCATTGCTGATGTCAGGTAGATCTCAGTTGAAAGCAAAGAATATCAGAAAGATGTTTACTTATGTTTTACTAATTATGCAAAAAAATTCAATTGTGTGGATTATAACGAATTATGGATAACATTGATGTGATGGTTAAGTTTGTGCGTCAACTTGGCTGGGCCTGGTTGAGTTGTTGGGCAGCTGATGGTAGTTGTTCCCCACGATGAGACTGGCAATCAACTCCATGTTTAGAACTACCACGAGCAGCTGAGTAGCTGCTTTAGGGATGTGTTCTGCTTTCATATATAAGAAACAGCTTTGGGAATGGTCTCTAGTTTATGGCACGTTTGAACACTGCATGTAGCTATATCATTATTCAGTAGCCTGAACACTGCATGTAGCTATATCATTATTCAGTAGCCTGCCATGCTCTGCTGACCTTGGGACTTTCAGTGGACTTA